TCCTCCTGTTGCGTACTTGGATGATGTTATGTCGCTATGTCAGTTACCTTTATGTTGGATTACGATTATCTCTTTTGTTTGTTTCCACGCTGTGTTGGTTTTCTCTCATGTCGATTTTGAAGCTACACTGTGGAGAGGTCGTTGAGTGTTTACCTTCATAGCGATTCCAACCCGAGAGTATCGTGAGTTCCACCTCATTTCACACAGACTCACACAGCTAAGTAACCATCTCCTCTCGTATTTTTTCCTTTCCCTGATGCGAGCAAACACCGTGGACGGTATTCTGTTCAAGTCTGGGGGAGGAGAGTTGATTGTATGCATGATTAGAAGCATTTGCGTAAACCGTTTTGAGTGGATAGCTGGGACATGATGAGATATAGGACTCGATAGAATTAGTCCGCTTTGACAACCCATGCGAACCGTCCTAGAGCTTTTGATTTAGGTTCAGGGATGAATTGTCAGTCTCTATCTGAAACGGTAGCTCTCGTTCAAAATAGGCTTGAAAGGTACGTGGTGTATGTGTTAGCTGAGCCTTTTTAGAGGTAGATATCTTCTGGACCAAGCGTATAAGTCTCCCTAAGAATCGTTCCCAGGACCCTTAGATCATTAGGCCGATGTTAGAGAAATAAAGGATAAATGTCATAAGTAGTTATATCCCGACACTCCTCTGTCACTGTCTCGTAAATGAAAATCATTCGAGGACATGAGTGCGTAACGACTCGGGTCTAAGTTGTGGGTTGAGTATCCACGAAAAAAAAATGAAATAAAAAGAAGGATACTCAGCAACTTCAACGTCCTAGAAGTCCGGGATATAAAGTCTTGAAAGAATGAACAAGTGAAAAGGAATCAACGACCTCACGTGGTTATGAGTTTGAATAGAGACACTGAAAAAGAAAAGACAATGGCCAGAATGTCTTTGGGAATATTGGTAAATAGATTCGAGAGACGTGTTTGGCAAAAAGAAGGAAATTTCTAGAGGTTCTATGCGAAAGACTTAGACTCCATTACCATTAGAGTTGAAATGAATCGGGAGAGATCAAAATAGGGTAGGATTGATTTCATCCAGGCTAGCATAGTGTATGATTAGCGCTCTATACTGTCGACTTCATTCTGATCTCAGCTGTCACTCGTTTTCCTCTGTTTTAGACTCGTTTTTTTTTTCATTGACAATTTGCTCGAGACGAGCAAAGCGACAAGTCTGGGGGAGTTTGATAACACGCAATATATCATGGATTTTTATATGATTCGTCCGACACATTTACCTGACTTTATGATATCTCAGACGTTTAAGTGCGTGTTTAGCTTCGGTTTCGCTTTGCTTTAATCTTTACAGGTATTACGCATTACGGGCGGAAAAAGAAGCGAAAACCAACCGAATTTGGAATCAGAAGCAAGAACCGATCGTTTCAGGGCATTCCGAAACGATCGTTTTGCCTCGCGGACAAGAACTGAAGATTTACTCAGAAGGAGAAACCGATCGGTTCATTGTGAGAGAACCGATCGGTTCGATCGGCGAAGAATTGCTCAGAAATATGAACCGATCGATTCACCATATGAAGAAACGATCGGTTCTCAGGCGAAGTTTTTGGAAACATTCCGATTTCAGCCAAAATAGAAAGAAATAAAAGGGAGAAAGCTTCTAGGTTACAAGGGGGCCGAATTTTTAGCAGAATAGTGACCCAAGAGCAGAGAAAAAAAGAGGGAGATTATCAGGAAGCAAGAGATTGGAGTAGAAGACGGAGATCACGAAGCCGAGAAATCGACTAAGAGTTTCTTCCTTATTCTATTTTACAATGTCCTGTTGTATTGATATGAACCCTGTCGTTTCGATGCGTAGTGAGTAATCCCCTTGCTGCGGGTTAGGGATTTGCTATGTAGGGATCTTTGGTTTTTAATTCCAGACTATGTGGTATTATTTATTTGATTCAGTTTATTGAGTTGCTCTTAATGCCTTTGATCTTGTTGGTCACTTGATTGAATGAACTTAGGGTTTTAATTCGCATAGACATATGGGATTCTAACCTGGAAATAACTCAGTAAATGGAACAGGTATTGCATCGAGAGATGAATATTTGCCTAGGGATTATGATAGCGTTCGTTCATGCATCTAAGGTTTTAGACTATTGAATCGAGAGATTAGTAGGATAAAGCATGGATAGTGAGATTAGACTTGAGAGAGTTAATCTCTACTTTAGAGCTTGAGTTCCCTGAATTGGATAGATAAACCACTTCGTTTGCATCTTTTGAAAGATCCTTGCATGTAAAGCAATCCCGAAGCCTGCAGTGTTTTTCATTGATTGTCTACAACCGTTTTAGTTAATTGCTTTGTTTTCGACATTCCATAATTCCATTCTCCACATTCTTATTATTTTTCTTGGATTTAGATTTGGATTTGGGTTTAACTCCTTTGCTTAATTTTGTCCCTGTGTTCGACCCTAGCTACTACACACGATCCGTACACTTGCGGAATTTGTTGAGTCTAGGAATTTATCACTTGATCGAAATTTATTCACCTAGATTTGCGACATCAGCAGTATTGCAATCGAGAAACGCGTTTGAGATCTCGAGATGGGACAATTTTATACTCGATGAAATGAGATTGCTGCTGCGTTTTTGTGTCGAAATGTGATCGGCATGTGTAGAAATATTGAACCAATGAGGAGTTTCTTAGCTTTTTTTTAGAATAAAAGTTATCATTACAATTTTTGTTTTGTCTCTATAATTTATGTCGGTATTTATTATTGTCTTATAAATATATGTATTGATTAGAAGGGCAAAATATCCAAAATACCTCATTTTGTTAAACATACTTCTACATATACCCTCTTCCAAATGTCATCATGTGACCAGAATATCTGTATAGTCATGATGGTCACATTGGTCACAACGTTAAATTTTTTATGATTTTTATCAAGTGATTAGTGTGATATGTAAGGTGTGATCATGATGACTTGATGTGATCACTATAAATTTTATGTTATGACCAATATAACTATTATGTGATCAGTAGTTATTCTGGTATCTGGAGAAAGATATGTGTAGAAGTAGTTTTAGCAAAAAGATGGTATTTTGGATAATGTCTCGATTAGAAGGGACAGTCGTGTGATATTTTTGATATTTTTGTGTATGTGTTGTGTTTTATGACGATAAAATGTGAGTATTTTGTTTAAGAAAGTTATCAAAGAGCCCTCGTGATCATTCTGTGGATTTTGCGACAAAGCAAGTGAGAATTTTCTCGAGCAAAAATCAATCGGGTTCATAAATTAATAATATATATATATATGTATATATATATATATATGTATATGTGTGTGTTTTATATGTATATATGTTTCTCATCTGAAGTGTTAGGTATAAGATATCATATAAGGTTATATCGTTCAATACATTTCATTTATAAAGTTTTAAGTGATTAATTTTTTTAGCTTAAATGTTATAACGTTTGCGTGATATATATTATCCAAAAAAAATATGTTTGTAATTTGTAAATGTATACATACGTTTATGTTGTGCAGTGGCTGACCTAATTTTTTTTAAATGGGGCAATAGTCATTAAGTATATGTAAAACATAGAAAGACCTAATAAAATATACCATCATAAAAATATTCATATCTAATAACTAAATTCTGCATTTCTTAATTTTTTTCGAAATCTATCTATAATAATTTCATTTATAACCATTTGAAATATATCTTTTTCTATTAAAAAAACTAGATAATCATTCAAATTATCTAATAAATCTCCAAGATTAATCAAATTAAAATTTATAATCTTTCATCAAATTGTCAATATAGATATTATAAGTTCATTGCAAATCTATAACAATATAAGAATAATCTAACTGATGATAATAATGCAAGTTGTTTAAATTTTGTTTATCTTCTTGAATTTTCGTAATCTTTTTTCATATTGGTATTTCATTACTTTGTTTTTCATAAAAAAGAATATATATTATTTAAAAGTGAATCTCATATAATATTCCTTTGTTATAATTATTTTTTTATAGATTTTACCAATTAAATTTAGAATAGATGAACAAACAATAAAAATTAATTAAAATATAATCATGATATCTAAGTACCTTTAATTAGATAATTGTTTTTTGTATTTCTCTATGTTTTTTTAGAAAAAGAAAAAGAAAAGATGAAAAAAAATATATAGAAAATAAGGAGTAAGATTTTAAAAAGGGCAACGATATAACCTAAAAAAAAGGAGAAAAACAAATTAAATAATAAATAAATAAAAGAGTGAGAGAAAGGGTGGGGCCACTATTAAAATCGTATGCGGCATTTTTTTAAAGTAGTTATAATTTTATAAAATTTTGAAGTAAATTATATTATTTTAATTAAGTGGATGGGCCATAGGACTCCATACGAGTGAAAGTTAATCCGCCCCTTTGTGTGCATATTTGTACATACATGTATTTATATGCTTGATTCTTTGTTTATTTTAATATTTTTTTTTACAAAAAACAGATATAGGTGAGTACCTCTCAGCTCATATTCTTGAATATAGTCTTGGATTGGATGGTTGGAGTTTTAAGTTTTTTAAAATTCAAAAACCAAATAAATCACCATTCAAGTTTTTACAAAATTACTTTTTCTAAAAATTTAGAAAACCATTTTATTGAAAAAATCAATAAAAAAATCAAAAACTACTTTTCAAATATTATAGAATCCAAAAATCAAAAATCAAAAAATAAAAACTAAAATCCAAAAACTAAAACCAAAAATCCAAAATAAAAATTATCCCTCGTTCAAATTCATAATATATTTTTCTTGCGCTAACAGTACAAAATATTTGGTACGGTCAAATAAAATTCAGGAAGCGGTAAAAAAAAATTTAAACAAAAAAGGAAAATCTGATTTGCCGTTGCAGCGGGATACGAGTACGACTTCTAGTTTCCATATTATTATTATTTTTTTGAAAGAAAAAAAATGAAAACTTTCGTTTTTTGTTTAAAAGATAAAAAGGAAAATATTCCGTAAAAATAGGAGATTTATCGTTTTTGGCTACTTGTCATCTTCCTCGGAGGACTCTGCTTCTCGTGGAAAAGTGTGGAGCCTATAAATAACACATCAATCAATGGCTTTCACAGATCAATCGAGTGAAGTTTCTGCAAATCGGAAAAGATCGATGATTTCCGAGACTGAACAACGGAGACTGGTCTCTTTTTTCCTTGAGATCACGGTCGGAGAGACCGTCGCCACCGCTCGGCGGTTCTTGGCGGCGACAAGCTGGAACCTTGACGAAGCCATCCTCTTATTCTACTCCGGATATCAGAAGGATTACGCGGCAGAAGACGAGGTTGACGCTCCGTTGACGCACGATCCGGCGTGGGAACAAGGTCAAGGAGGGGATTCGCCGAGATCTACCGGGGACTCGGCCTCGGTGTACAAGCCTCCTTTTGACCTGATGTTCAATGGGTCGCTCCATCAAGCGAAATCTGCTGCTTCTGAGGAGGATAAATGGCTGATCGTGAACCTGCAATCCAGAGAGGAGCTCGCCTCTCACACGCTTAACCGGGACACGTGGGGGGACGAGGTCGTTGCGGAAACCATCACGAACAACTTCGTCTTCTTGCAGGTTGAACACGACGCCAGCGATGGTCAGAAGATTCACACGTTCTACAACGTCGAAACCCTACCCGTGGTTCTCGTGATTGATCCGATAACCGGGCAAAGGATGCGTCTGTGGTACGGAATGATCGAAGGCGAGACCTTGCTCGAGGAACTAGTACCCTTCATGGACGTTGGTCCTAAACAGCAGCTTCTTCATAAGAAACGACACCCGAGATCGACCGCAGAGGAACAAAACCCTTCATTGGAGACAGTGCCGGAAACTGAAACCCCTTCGTTAGAGACACTGACTTTGTCTGAAAAAGACCAAACTAACGCCATGCCCATGTTCCCTCCTCTTCCTCAGGAGCCAATTGTGGGCGATCCCCGCTTGTTATGCAGAGTCGGTTTTCGCTTTCCAGATGGGCGGAGGCTCGTGAGGAGCTTCCTGAAAACAGAACCCATTCAGCTTCTTTGGTCTTTCTGCCACTCTCAGATTCAGGAATCGGAGATGAAGCCGTTCAAGCTGGTGGAGACGACGACCCCTCGTTCGGCCAACACTATCCACTACGACTCCGACCAAACTTTCGAACAATCTGGCCTCGCCAATTCCATCGTCTTGCTCTCTTGGGAATGATTGATTATCTCATCCTCTTTGTTCCTTTTTTTCTCTTCCTCTTTATTTCCAATCATATCATTTTTTTAAATATAATATTTAATAATATCATTAGTACTTATATTTTTTTATAATTCTTTAAATACGATGATTCCAATTATATTCAATTAAGGTCGGATTAAATAACATCGTCCGAGTGTTGCCCCGAGAGCGACAGAGCCGATTCCAATTTATGAATTCAATTAGAGGCCCGACAAAAGTTTGATAGAAAGTTTCGGATATGGGCCCAAACTGGGCCCAATTTTATATGGGCAAAAGTCAATTATTGCTTCCGGTTTGACTTTTCCTTGGAAATTAAAAGCTTTTAGAAAATAAATATTCTTGTTTCTTTCTTAGCATCACATTTAGTCCGATTTAAAGTTTAAAAGACAAAAAAAAAAAAAAGTTTCATTAAAGAAACGTGTTAAAAGAACGAGAAATGGGAATATCATTTCATTTGGCCCAATAAAAGGATCCATAAAAGAGCCGAAAAAAAGGATGATTTTTAATTATCACATCGTCCATTCGAAGAATCGTGCTTAAAGCATTGATATGGGTGTGTTCAAATTGATACCATCGTAGGCACCAATATTAGTATCAAAATTTGTATTATTATATTGTTATAATGGGTATATATATATATAATTTATTTTCCCCTTTTAAAGGATAAAAAATAGTATCCATATAATACTTATTTTGACTTTTCTCAATTTGTTTTTTCAAATATTTATAATTCGTACTCGAGCGAAAAAAAAGAGAAGAAAATAAACTGAACCACATTTCCCCAACATACGGTGTCTTAACTCTTAGCTGAAGTTTTAAGGCATTCAAAACCCATTGTATGTTTATATAACACGCGACATAGGTGGAAGCAGGGAAACTCTTGCGGAGCTGCTCGTGCAAACGACGGTGTGTACGTAATGAGGAGATATGCCGTATCACTCCAATATGTCAAACTTGCATATATCATTATGTATTTCCTTATACGTAATTAGATTAACTTGGCATATATGTATGTTATCATAAACCAATGAAAGACCTTTTTGTTCTTGGGTCTGATTGTATCATGGTATCAGAGCCTCATACACCTAACTCTGCGTTTTAATTCTTCCATATCTCCGACACCCGACACCGACCAACCTCCGAACTCGACTTCGAACATGAACACCGAACCGACCATGAACCAAGCACCGGCGGCTCCCGAAACCGTTGTTGTTCAACGGCGAACGATATCTCCCTATGATTTGACTCCAAGTGACAATCCCGGTGTTTTAGCTCGGGCCGATGTTGTTCATACTGCGAATCATGTTTCTCTTGCAACTGAAGCTGACAACAATCCTCTCGGTGGAATTACTCAGGACCAGTGGCAAGCATTGATGGCCATGATCAACGCGAAATTCGTCGCTAGAACCGAAACCCAGATCGGTAAGACCTCTGTTACTTCGTGGATTATTGATACGGGGTGTTCACAGCATATGACAGGTGATTTGTCCCTACTCGTGGATATCGAACCTATGTCTCCATGCTCCGTCACATTACCGGACGGACGACGTGTTTTCTCTGTCAAATCCGGATCTGTTGTTTTATCGGCTGGTCTTCGGTTATCACATGTCTTCTTTGTTCCGGGCCTTCACTGCAATCTGATATCAGCATCTCAACTCATAGCTGAATCTGGGTGTTTTGTTACGTTTGCGCCTCATTTCTTTGTTGTTCAAGACCACACAACCAAGATGACGATTGGAACAGATGAGCTCAAAGCGGGGCTCTATTATTTTCGGGGATCGGAAACTGTGGCAGTAACTCGAGTGACGGGCATTCAGTCTTTTGATCTGTGGCACAAAAGGATGGATCATCCGTCATCCGGAGCCTTAGCAAAGATTCCCGGTTTTGCTATTTCTAATCATTATTCCGATAATAAAGCTTGTGATGTTTGTTTCCGAGCAAAACAATGTCGAGATTCTTTTCCGTTGAGCGCAAATAAAGCTTCGACACTATTTGAGTTAATCCAATGTGATGTGTGGGGACCGTATCGCAAACCTTCGTTCTCCGGTGCCAAATATTTATTGACGATCGTGGATGATTACTCTCGCAAACTTGGATATACTTGATGACTAGTAAGAACGAAGTACAATGCCATCTCCGTCATTTTATCTCGTTGATTGAACGACAATTTGGTACGTTGATCAAAACCATCAGGTCTGATAATGGTTCAGAGTTCATCTGCTTACGCCAAATTTTTTTAGAAAAAGAGATTTTGCATGAAACGTCTTGTGTCGGAACTCCACAACAGAATGGACGAGTTGAGCGTAAGCATCGCCACATTCTTAATGTGGCTCGTGCGTTGTTGTTTCAAGGAAAACTACCAGTGGATTTCTGGGGAGAAAGCATTCTTACAGCCGCGTATTTGATCAACCGAACCCCGTCCTCTGTTCTTCACGGGAAAACACCTTATGAGATAATTCACGGCCAATCACCAAAGTATGACCATCTTCGCGTCTTCGGGAGCTTATGTTATGTTCACATTCAGAACCGAGGAGGGGATAAATTCGCCTTTCAAAGCTCTCGATGTGTATTCGTCGGTTATCTGTAAGGCCAAAAAGGATGGCGTGTGTTTAATCTTGACACACAATCATTTCATTTGTCGAAGACGGTTTCCCGTTCCTTGGCACAGATTCATCTTCGTCTTTTCCTACAATTGTGATCCCGACAGGTTCTTCTTGGACAGCCGATGATGATTTTGTTCCTCTGCCCACTGCGCCACCTTCCTCTGCATTGCCTCTTGATGGCACGACAGAGTCTCCGATATTGCTTCCTGGTTCCCCAACTTCTATGCAATCTGATTTGGCTGATCCTGATTTCCCATCATCGGTTTCTCCAGCGAGGAGGGGCTCACTTGCGACTACAGGCGAAGCTGTTTTCTCCGACGACATGTCCTCGTCTTCACCTCCTTCTGGTTCTACTCTGACTGAACTAGGCCGAGGTCAACTACAGAAATTTCAGAATATTCTTCTTCGAGATTTTGTCACCAATTCAGTTCATACTCAGTCGACAGTACCGTCGAACACGCCGCCTGACACCTCCTTTCCGATTTCGAAGTTTCTGTCTTATGGTCAGCTTTCGTCTTCACATAGCAGTTTTGTTGCCGCAGTCACGGCCAATACCGAAACTCGAACATATGCAGAGGCAATTAAAGATGAAAACTGGCGTCAAGCAATGTCAGCCGAGATTGCAGCTCTTCAGTCGAATAAAACCTGGACATTGGAAACTCTCCCACCCACAAAACGAGCGATTGGATGTAAGTGGATCTTTCGCATCAAGTATCGATCCGATGGAACGATAGAACGATACAAGGCTCGACTTGTTATACTTGGCAACAAACAAACCGAAGGAATCAATTACGATGAAACTTTTGCTCTGGTTGCTAAGATGGTGACGGTTCGGACATTTCTTGCTGTCGCTGCGGCTCGTCATTGGGATGTCCATCAAATGGACATTCACAATGCATTTCTACATGGGGATTTGACAGATGAAGCTTCCACCCACCACGTTTGTCGCCTACGCAAAGTCTCTTTATGGCCTAAAACAGGCTCCACGTTGTTGGTTTGCAAAACTTGCTTCGGCTTTGCGGCATTACGGCTTTGTACAGTCTGAGTCTGATCACTCATTGTTTATTCTATAGCAAAACGACACTCGGATACATGTCTTAGTGTATGTCGACGATCTACTTGTGACGGGTAACTCAACTCCGGCAGTGGTTGCGTTCAAGACTTACCTCAGCGCTTGTTTCCGCATGAAAGACTTGGGTTTACTCAAATATTTCCTCGGTCTTGAGGTGGCACGCGGTTCCCATGGAATCTTCCTCTGCCAATGCAAATATGTGTTAGACATATTAACGGAAACTGGATTGCTGGGTGCGAAGCCCTGCTCTTTTCCTTTGGAACAACACCATCGACTAGCGGTATCTACCAGCGAAGTTCTCTCTGATCCCGAACCATACCGATGTCTTGTGGGCGACTGTTGTATTTGTTTGCTACCCGACCCGACATTACGTATTCGGTACATGTATTATCAAAGTTTATGCAGCAGCCTCGACAAGAACATTGGGATTCCGCACTACGGGTCGTTCGGTATCTAAAAGGTTGTCCCGGGCAAGGCATATTGCTTCGCTCTGACTCTAATCTTCGTCTCTCTACTTGGTGCGACTCAGATTGGGCTGGTTGCCCTCGTTCTCGCAAATCACTCGTTGGCTGGCTCGTACACTTCGGTAATTCCCCACTCTCTTGGAGATCAAAGAAACGACATACGGTTTCCCTCTCATCTGCGGAGGTAGAGTACAGAGCAATGTCGGCGGCAACTTGTGAGCTGCTGTGGCTTAAAGGTCTCCTTCAGTCTCTCGGTGTCGTACACTCAGAACCCATGCTTCTCCACTGTGACGGTCAAGCGACACTTCACATTGCGGCAAACTACGTGTTTCACGATCGAACGAAACACATCGAGATTGATTGTCATTTCCTCCGCCATCACGTCTCTGACAACACGATTGCTACAGCCTACGTCCCAAGCCATCTTCAACTTGCAGACATTTTTACGAAAGCTCTCGGCAAGAAGGAATTCGACGCATTCTTGGACAAGTTGGCATATATGATATCTACGCACCAACTTGAGGAGGGGTAATGAGGAGATATGCCGTATCACTCCAATATGTCAAACTTGCATATATCATTATGTATTTCCTTATACGTAATTAGGCTTAGTAGAACGAAAAACGAGTACATGCATTGCGATTTTAGTGGGGGGCGTTCTAGTGATATAGGAATTAACTTGCAAGGAGGATTAGTACCTCAAAACCCGTATTTTAAATATCTTGGTTCAATCCTCCAAAAGGATGGAGGTTGCGACCAAGATGTTAGTCATAGGATAAAAGCGGGACGGATGAAATGGAGGCAAGCCACGGGGGGTCCTTTGCGATCGCAAAGTTCTCATACGGTTGAAAGGAAGATTCTACCGTACAGTCAGAAGACTCGTATTGATGTATGGTAGTGA